AGTGTGGGCCTGCTGGCACGGGGCAGCCTTGCTGGCAGTGCCTGCTTCCCTTGGGCTGCACTATGGGAGTTCAGAGTGATGAGGCCTCAGAGTGGATTTAGCACTCCCTGAGCACAGTGCGATGGGTTAGCTCTGCTTTGGCTCTGCTGTAGCTCAGGGTCACTCTTGTCCTGGAGCCAGTGTCTGGCTCCTGTTTGGAGCTGTCCTTGTGGTGCCTGGAAAAGAAGGATGGTCACAGTGTCAATCTTTGCTTGCCCAGGGTGGGAAGAGGCGCAGGAAGGATCGGATCCAGGACCTGATTGACATGGGCTATGGCTATGACGAGTCTGACTCCTTCATCGATAACTCTGAAGCAGTGAGTGCCAGGGCAGGTGTGAGGGGGTCGAAGGTGTCTGCCTGGGGGCTGAGCTGGTGCCTGGGAGCAGCCAGGGGTGTGCCAGGGCTGGGGGGTGAGAGATCTGGGGGCTGCAGGCAGGAGGATGCTGCTTGGCATCCCACAGCCCTGGCTGCTCTTGGGGAAGCACAAATCCCACTCCATTCTCTGGCAGCTCAGCTGTGGCATAACAGGCAAAGCTTAGAGTGATAATCAAGTGTTCTTTGTTATTTCCAGTATGATGAGCTTGTTCCTGCCTCTCTCACGACAAAGTATGGAGGGTTTTACATCAACTCGGGGACGCTGCAGTTTCGACAGGCATCTGAGTCTGAGGATGACTATGTCAAAGAGAAGAAGAAGAAGTGTCCCAAGGTCAGCAAGGCAACTTTTCCCATGATTTCCTCTGTTGGAACTCAGAGCTTGCTGCATGAAAGTGTGTTGGCATTCCAGATGGGAGAGATTCGTGACCTGGTGTGGACAGAATAAGGATGAGCGCTTGAAATCCCATGGTGTCCCCATATATGTCATAGGAAAATGAAGTGTGTCTGGCAGGGATGAGACTCTGGAGGGGTTGCCTGGTTCCTAGAGCAGAGGTGGCAGCAGCTCCCTGTCGCCCTGAAAGGCCCTGAACACTGTGGGGTGCAGGGAGTGGGCAGAAGCTGTGTGTGCTGTCAGATGCTGAAGGCAACATGCCAGAACCATGGTGACAGGCTTGAGGGGGTTGGGTTCATGTGCCTAGTGCTCTCAGGTCTCTGGGAGAGGTCCCAGAGTGTCTCTGGGGGTGCTAGGAGTGGTATAGGAGGAGGATTGTGACTTGGATTTAACCCTCTGCAGAAGCGGAAGTTGAAAGATGGAGGTGAAAAAATGAAGAAAAAGAAGAAAGATGATTCCTATGACAAAGAAAAGAAATCGAAAAAGTCCAAGTTTCCAAAGGCTGGGTAAGGAAGGAATGCTTGCTGCTCCACACCTCTCTGCAGACTTACACGAGGCTGCAGGGAGCACCTGCTGCAGTGTGGGTGGTTTGGGTGCACATGGCATAAACACTAGCAGGGAAAGCTCTGGTGCTTCCAGAAGTGGGAAAGAAGGGTGAGTGATGCTCAGGGAAGGAGCAGAGCTCCACAGCAGCAGTGTCTGAGCAAAGAGGGGCACAGCTGGCTGCAGTGTGGTGTTTCTTGCAGCTCTGCTCAGGCACTGGTTGTGGGAGTAGATAGTACGAGTGGAGACAGAGATAAGGACTGTTGGGCCAAAGCTGAGGGACGACGATACTCCTGAGGGAGTTTGTACTCCTGCCCAGAGTGTTTCTGGGGTGAGGGCTCAGCTGTCCTGTAACTCTTGGGCTGTAACCATGGTGTGCTGGTTTTTTTTGTTCTGAGCCATCTCATCCTGTTGCTCTGTCCTTGCTCTGCTCTGCTTGCGCTTCCTGTGTCTGTGTCTCTGTTGCTTTGCTCTCTTTTCTTACGTTTTTCTCTTAGTTTTTTTCCTTCTTCCTGTAACTGCTTATAATTTCTTTTTTCCTGAAAGGATCTGATCCCCAAACCACATGCCTGGCATGGTACTGTCAGTGCCTGATTCCTTTGTAGCAAGCCAGGGAAAGGAATTTGCTCTCCTGGTGTTCGTAGGCAAAAAGCTTCGCACCAACTCCCTCTTGCCTCAGTCCCTCTGAACTAGTTTGTTCATTTCCCAGTCTTCCTTGCTGGAATAATGCTCATAGCTGAGTGGAAGCATAGCTCTGTGGAGGTGCTTGAAGTCCCATCAGGACAGTCTTCCCTTCTCCAGGCTGAACAGGCAGCAGGGCCTTAAGAGGCTGAAGAATGGTTCCTACTGTAACTGAGGAGAGGCTGTAGAATATTTTTCCTGGTGTAATTGGTTGAGGGGCTAAGACTTTCCAGGGACTTGGTGCCTATGGAAGGAGAGAACTGGGGTGGAGGTTTCCTCTCTGCTCCTTGGTCTGGTGTTCAGTCCCTTTCCTCCTCCATGCTTTGTTTGCAGCTTCACAGCGTTAAATGCAAGCAAGGAGAAGAAGAAGAAGAAATACTCTGGAGCTCTCAGTGTCAAGGAGATGCTGAAGAAGTTTCAGAAGGAGAAGGATGCTCAGAAGAAGAAAGATGAGGAGCAGAAAGCAGTGCCTCCTTCGCCAGCAGAGCCTGCAGGCCCGAGGGAGGCCGAGGCTGACCCTCTGCTCTCGCTCTTCGGCCACGCCAGTGACAGCGACCTGCTCCAGGCAGCCACGGCCATGGACTCCCTGAGCGAGCTGGACCTGGAGCGGCTCCTCAGCGAGTCGCCGGAGGGCAGTCCTCTCCCCGACCTGGAGGATGGCAGTGATCCCGCGGGGACCGGCTTGGAGCAGGATTTCAAGCCGCCGTCCCTCCCCGAGGGCCTTCCAGCCCCTCTGGAGAAACGCATCAAGGAGCTGGCCCAGGTGTGGCAGCTCGGGGGGCAGTGGGGCTGGTGGGCACCGGGGTGGGGACAGCTCTGCTGGGCTGGAGTGGCATCACCCCGGGACAGAGCATGTTCCCGCGAGGAGCGTCAGTGCCGCTAGGACCGCCCTGTGTGCCACCTGCTTCGATGGCCCAGGGCTCAGGCAGAGTCACAGTCCTTGGCCTTGGCATCTACTGACTGCAGCACTCGAGGTCACACCTTTCAGGACTCCTCCTCTCCCTCCCCAGGCTAAGTGTGGGCCTGATGCAAGAGGCGATTTCCGCAGTCAGTTTGTCATGAGTGGGGCCAAATGTATGCCCTGAGGCTGGAGGCCTGGCCAGGGCTGGGGCAGAGTAGGTTTCTCCCCAGAGGCTGGTGCAGGGCTGTTTGGACTGAAAGTTCCTGGCAGTTTGCTACTACCTCGTTCATTTCTTGGAGTTCCTTTCCTGCGGGACATACTTTTCATGGGTGTGATTTTTTGGGCAGTGCTGTGTGTGCTGCAGTCATAGCTCAGGAAGCTTCCTGAACCAGAGGGTTTTTTTGTGTTTCCATGGTATTGCCTGGGAATAACACATCCCCTGTGGCTCTTTCTGCTGGTTTCTTGGCTTAGTTTCCAGATTGATCTAGAGAGCCTGATGAGAAGGATCCCTGACCCTCATTCAGTGTGACTAGGATGATCTTGCCTGTTCCAGGAACAAGTTCTGTATTGCTCAATCTAAGAGCTCCAACATGAAGTGGAAACCATGCTCTGAACTGTTGTTCTCCCCATGGGAAGCTTGCCAAAGCCACCCGTTGCCACCAAGCCATCTCCTTTGTCCCACTGAATGGAGGAAGCATCACTCCAGAGCAGTAATCCCAGTGCATCTGGAGAGGAAAATCCAGACTGGGAGGGTCTGTGGGCAGGACATGGTGTTCCCATGTTGGGTGGCAGGGTTGGGTTTGAACTGGGGAGGTGGAAGAGGAGAGGGCAAGATCCCATTTGGAATAAAATTGTGCCTTGTTTTCCAGTACTCCTGGAATGGTTTAAAAACCACAATGGCTTGTGCCATCTGGGAACTGCTGCTGATTTGTGTTGTTCATTACCTTCCAGGCTGCCAGAGCTGCAGAGGGAGAAGGCAAACAGAGGTTCTTCACTCAGGATATCAACAACATCATACTGGAGTAAGTGCTGCCAGCAGGGAAGTGTGGGAAGGGGGAATACAAGGAGTCCTTGTCCTGCTCCAGCCTGGGGGGATTCCCCCAGGGTCAGTTCTTCACGAACTGTTCCAGCATGGGTCATTCCACACCAGCCCAGCACAGGTCCCACACAGGGTCACGAGTTCCCCCAGGAGCTCTGCTCTGTGGGTCTCCTCTCTGCACAGGCTGCAGGTCCCTGCCAGGAGCTGCTCCAGCAAGGGACTCCTCATGGGGTCAGAGCCTCCTGTGGGCATCCACCTGCTCCTTGTGGGTCTCCTCCAGAGGCTGCAGGTGGATCTCTGCTCCCTGCTAACCTCCCTGGGCACAGCTGTCTGCCCATGGTCTTACCACAGGCCTCAGGGCATCCTCAGCTCCGGCACCTGGAGCATCTCCTCCCCCTCCTCCCCTGCTGCTCTTGGTGTCTGCTGAGTTGTTCCTCTCACGTATTCTCCCTCCCCTCTTCTCTGGCCACAATCCCTTCTGCACAGTAACTTTTTTGCGTTCTCAAATCTGTTACCCAGAGGTGTTGCTGCCACCCCTGACTGGCTGGGCTGTGCCGCAGTGCCAGGTCCATCCGAGACCTGCTGCGTTGGCTCTGCCAGGCGTGGGGAAGCCTCAGCAGTTCCTGGCAGATCCCCCCCTGTAGCACCCAGGGCCCTAACCTGCCCTGCAAACCCACTGCAGCTGTGTGTCTCCCCCAGCATCGAGCTGCAGACACGGGAGCTGCCGGGCCAGCTCCGCTCCGGGGTGTATGCCCACCTGGCTGCCTTCTTCCCCTGCAGCAAGGACACTCTGCTCAAACGTGCCAGGAGGCTCTATCTCTACGAGCAGGTGAGTGCTCTGGGCAGCACAGTCCTGTGCTGTGTGTGGGATCCAAGCCCCAGGGCACAGCTGGTGTCTCCCTGCCCTGCTGGTGTCCCTGCTCAGGCAGCACAGGGGCTGTGGGCAGGGGACTGGGCAGGCCTCTCTCCCCCTGCTGGATGTGGGAGTCCCAGCTGGAACGTGCTGTGTGGAGCTTCACTGTGTTCTGTGCCTGCTCCAGGGCGGCCGGTTGAAGGAGCCTCTGCAGAAGCTGAAGGAAGCCATTGGAAGGGCCATGCCAGAGCAGGTGGCCAAGTACCAGGAGGAATGCCAAGCCCATACTCAGGCCAAGTTTGCTAAGTAAGCTCCTTGTTTGCTTTTTCTGTGCCTGCAGCTCTTCCCAGCAGGCTCCCTGGGACTGCCCCTGTGTGCAGGGAAGGGATGGGTCCAGAGGGACCTGGACAGGCTCGAGAGTGGCTGATACCAACCTCATGGAGCTCAACAAAACCAAGTGCAGGGTCCTGCCCCTAGGTCAGGGCAATCCCAGACACACCTCTAGGCTGGTGGAGAAGTCATTGAGAGTAGCCCTGGGAGAAGCACTTGGGGGTGACTGTTGATGGAAAACTCACCATGACCTGGCAGTGTGAGCTCACAGCCCAGAGAGCCAACCATGTCCTGGGCTGGATCCCAAGGAGTGTAGGCAGCAGGTGAGGGAGAGGACTCTGCCCCTCTACTCTGCACTTGTGAGACACATCTGGAGTGTTGCACACAGTTCTGGTGTCCCCAGCATAAGTCCACGGGAGGCCACGAAGCTGATCTGGAGCACCTTCCCTATGAGGACAGGCTGAGGGAGTTGGGGCTGTTCAGCCTGGAGAAGAGAAGGTTGTGTGGAGACCTCAGAGCACCTTGCAGGAGCTGAAGGGGCTCCAGGGAAGCTGCAGAGGGATCTGTGTTAGGAACTGCAGGGACAGGACAAGGGAACATGCAGCCTGGGAACACTCAGGCTGGTTTAGTCCCATAGACTCGATTACAAAACCCGGAGTTTCCACCCTGAGCCTGAGGTCTGTGGAGATCTGCTGAGATCTCTCTGACCACTGGGACCTCTGACCAGTGCTGCTTAGAGATACTTAGTTCTTGAGCCTCCAGGACAATGACTTCCATGTTTTCTGTCTCTATTTTAGGATGCTGGAAGAGGAGAAGGACAAGGAGCAGCGAGACCGAGCTTGTTCTGATGACGAGGAGGATGAAGAAAAGGGAGGGAAGCGCCTGACAGGACCACGGAAGAAATTTCAATGGAATGATGAAATCAGGTTTGAATAACTTAGATATTAGTGAACCCATTGCTTGTCCTACTCTTTGCAGTTGGAAGTGAAGCATCTTGGAGTTTGCAGAGCAGAGCTGATCACCTGTAGGCACAGCTGGTCAGAGGCTGTGGCACATGGTGCTTTTCGTGGTGCTGCTGAATCTCACCCTTGTATGCATTGCAAAGTGGAGCTGATTTCAGGCACAGGCCAAGTCTGGGAGAACTTCTGACAAGCCTCTGCAGAGGCCAAAGGAGAGGGACAGACAGACTCTTAACACAGCCAGGTTCTGGCTGTGGGAGCAGTTGAAGCTGCTGGGGTTGCTTCCCCTGGCACCAGGGGGTCTGACTGAGAGGGAAGTGCTGGGAGAAGGGGAGAGTGGCAAAGGATGAAGTGAGCATTGAACCTGCTGTCCCTTTCCTCTCCCTCTGGAACAAATGGGTGCTGCTCCCTGGATGGCTGACTCAGGTAGGACCCAGCCAGCTTTGCTTCCTGCCCTGTCCCTGCTGGGAGGGTCAGTGCTGTGCTTGGTAGTGGTGCCTGTGGTTCTGGCACTGCTTTGCTACCTCAGGAGATGAAATTGGGAAGATGTAGAGTAACAAGCCTTTCCTCCCTGGGTCATCGCTCTGTGTGCTCACACAGAGCCAGGGACGTATTTCCCTTCCTCTTTCTCAGGGAGGCAGTGCAGAGCCAGTTGTGTGAGGAAGGTGCAGGCCCAGGTGTGTCCTGATGTATTGATCCAGCCCTGGATAAAGGGAATGATCTCCAAGTGGGAAAAGTTCATCTGCATAACTGTATTTGAAATCTTCCTGTTCCTCAGGGAGCTGCTTTGCCACTTGGTGAAGATTAAGTTGGATGGTTATGACCTTGACAAGAATAAGACTCAGTCTCTAGAGGATTATGTGAAGACCTTCCTAGAAGGAGAGGTGAAGCCCCTTTGGCCTAAAGGCTGGATGCAGGCCAGGTGAGCAAGAACCAAGCTGTACTGCAGGGATTCCTTGGCCTGAGGGACCTGGGAAGGGCATCAGTCTGACCCTGCTCAGGGAAGGGCTAGTTTCAGGGTTAGATCAGAGTGCTCAGAGCTTTGGCCTGTGCAGTTTTGGAAATTTCCAAGGATGGAGATTACCACAGCATCTCTGGGCTCCTGTTCCAGTGCTTAATCACTCTTCATGAAATCTTTTCGCCTTTCCAGTCAGAATTCCCCTTGCTGCTCTGAATTAAATATTCCCTCTTTCTGTCTGTTACTCTGCACCTTTGAGAAAGCTCTGGCTTCATCTTCTCTGTGGCTCCCTGTCCTCGCCACTCTAGGGAGTGGAAAACTGCCTTTAGATTCCTTCCGTAGGCTTCTCCTTTTCCAGGCTAGGCAAACCCAGTTCCCTCCACCTCTTTGGCTGTCATGGATCTACATTCCTTGGGATGTCTCCAGTCTGTTGACATCTCTCTTGCATTGTGGGGACCCTGGACCTGGATGCTGTGTCCCCATGTGCCCTCACAGGTGTCAGAAAGGAGTAGGCACTTAACTGCTGGCTGTGCTCTTGCTGGCACCTTCCAGTGTATCATGAGCTCTCAGCAGGACACCCTCGTAGCCATGGCTCTTGTCCAGTCTGCCCACCAGGCCCCCAGGTCCTTCCTGGCTCTGTACCCGTGTTGCTGCTTGGGGTTACTCCATCCCAGCTGCAGAACTTTGCACTGGTCTTTGCTGAACTCCACAAGGTTTGTGTTGGTCCCTCCCTCCAGCCTGGGAAGGGCCCTGGGAAGGCCAGGCCTGCCCTCCCTTGTCACACCACCCCCAGACTTACTCAGAGAGCAGTGCAGGTTGTAAGTAACCCCATGGTCAGTCTTGGCCCTGTGTTGGTCTCTGGTGGGTGCCCCTGGCAGGCAGAACTGGCTCTGAGGTGAGGCTCAGTGCCCTGCAGCTTCTCAACTCTGTTTGGCAAAGGATGACTTTATAGTCACAAAGGATACATGTTTGGACACTTTGGTAAGGCTTCCCTGGAATATTCCTCACAAAAGGCAAAGCAGGAAGTTTTCGGGGCTTATTAGAGACTGAGTAGGGATTTGGTGTGTAGTTTTGTGTAAGTGGGAATTTTCCCTCTCTGGTGTCCTGCTCTCTCCTGCAGCTGGCATGGCAGAGAGCCACGCAGATGGAGTCGTTCTGCTGGCACTCTGCACCTTCTGCCTGCTTTGTTTTGCCTGGCAGCTGAAAGGAAGGACAACTGTACAGTTCCTTCCAGCCCAAGCCATTCTGTGCCTCTGTCTCTTTAACCAGCTGGGCAGCACTGTCATCTTCTCTGTGCTCAGTTTGCTTTCTGGGTCTCCTGGGGGATACAGGAGGAAGTAGGTCCCAGTTCCTAAGAGCAGGAAGTATGAGTAACACATCACAGATCCACTTGGAAGGTCCATGGCTGTTGCAGCTGCAGCACGGTCCTGGTGGTGGGACAGGAGCACTAGGAGGTGGGTGCAGATTCCTGCTTGGTTAATGAAGGTATACCCAGGTGGGTGAAGATTCCTACCTAGATATACTCAGCCTGAGAGCCTTAGCTTGCCAAGTTTTAAACACTCTCTTCTTTGAATAAAACCCCTAGTTTGTCAGAGAAACTGTTGTTTAGGCACTCAGGTGTTCACCTTGGACTCAGTGTAGACTCACTTCACTTCCAGTCAGGTTAACTACAGAATGACTGAATAAAAGTGGTTTTCCTGATATCTTTCCCCTGGCTCAAGGACAATGGTTTCTCCTGCTGGGACTTGGAGTTGGACTTGATGATCCTTCTGGGTCCCTTCCAGCCTGAGGTAGTCTGTGACTTCACGGTTTAAAGACAGAGGGTGGATGGACAGCCACACAGGAGGGGGGGGATTGGTGACTGCAGGAGAACTGCAACAGTTTTGTGGATAAGGCAGTTTGGTTCCCTGACATGAAGCTCACAGAAGCTCATCCTTGAGACCAGCGTGAGGAGGAGCAGTTCTGTGAGTCCAGACAGGCCCTGCCATGAGACTGTTTTCTCCACTAACACCAAGGAGATGATTAACAGAATATACAGTTGAAATAAGCTGATTTTTTACAAGAAAAAGGATGGCAAAAGTCTGTTTGTTCCAGAGAGGAGTTGTATTGCACATGCCAGTACTGAAGGTGTGTGGGTAACTCCTCACCCTGGCGTGTCAGGCAGCTGATCTGGTCTGGTCACAGTGCTCGTGTGAGGTTCTGGTTTCTGAGCTCAGCAGTGCAGGGGCGCAGATGGAGCTGAGTCTGCTGGTCATGGTCAGTCAGTGGTTGTGGGAAGGATGTGCTGGTGTGAGGAGTCTCCTCAGCTGTTTGCTGGGGACATGAAGGCTGCAGAGGGAAGGCTTCTCCCCGGTAGTGCTGTGTGTGAGGCAGGGGAAGGAATTGTCTCCCTGGCAGCTGCTGAAGAGCTCGTGGCTGATCTGTGGCAGCAGTGAGTGATGGTCTTGTCTCTCCAGTTGGCTTTTGAAGCTGGCAGAGCTTTCTCCCAAGTTATTGTCCAGGCACTGCCTTAATGGCCCTTCCAGCGCCTACAGGCAGAGCTCCCCGGAGAGGGAACTCTGTGGGGGAGCTCAGGAGGACTTTCCTGGCAAAGGGATGAATATGTTTGCTCTCTCTGATTTGATTTCCCTGAGTCCCCTGCTGTTTTGTGCAGCTCTGTCTCCAGTGATCCCAGCTGCTCTACTGGGTCTTGCTGGATATCACTTCTCATTGCTCTCTTCCCTTCTTAGGACACTGTTTAAGGAGAGCAGGCGTGTGCATGGACACCTCACATCAGTCCTGTGAGTATCACAGCATTCTTCTGGAGTGGAAACTGGTGGACTCCATTCCCTGGGGCCTGGGTGGATGTGCAGGAGGCCCTGAGCTTGCTTGGCCCCCCCCAGACTGTTTGGTGCTGCTTCATTCAGGGAAGCCTAGGGAGGGCAGCTGTGTGTGCCATCCCCCAGCACCAGTCAAGGTCCTGAGGTGCTTTAGCCTTGCAGTCAGCTCAAAAATAGGGACTTTGAAGCCAGGTTGCCTCCTGGGGTCAGTCTGTGCTCAGCCCTGGGAGGCAGGTGAAGGTAAAACGGAGTGTGATGCCAACCCTGTGGTTATTGCTGCCTGTTCAGTCGGTGCTTCCTGGACTCTGGACTCCCTGGGTCTGTTTGGCTGGCTAAAGGAGGGACAGGGTGCTCAGGCTGGTGAAGGTGGGTGCAGCAGCCTCGTGGGTGGTGAGGGCAGAGCTGTCAGGATCCGCTGGGCAGGGCCCTCACTGCCCAAGGGCCTCGTGGGGCTCACTGGTGGTTGGTGCTGATGATGACACGCATCTGGGCTGATGTCTGGTCGACACACAGTCCTGTTCTTGGCACTGGATGAGCAAGGGGAAGTATGAAGAAGACTGTGAAATCAAGTGCAGAGTCATCCTTCCCTCAGCCATACCATTCCAGCAGCTCAGGGATGTCTTGTGCCAGGGATTGATTGCATCTGACCAGGCCAAGTGATCCGTTCTGTGTGGATTTGGCAGATGCTTTTGCATCCTTGACTTCTTCTGGGAACTGAAAAGCAATGTGTGAATTCTCCAGAACAGCCTCTGTGCCAGTTTCTCCGGGTGTTGGAGCAGTGAGGGCAACAGTGGGGTGTGCAGGATGTGTCTCTGAGTGGCTCACTGCTCTGCTCATTTCAAGCCTCTGCTCTGCTCCCTAATCCATCCCCCGTGTGGGAGTTGGGGCTTCCTAGAGCAGCAACCGGTTGTCATGTGGTTTTGAATCCTAGCAACCTGAGATGCTGCCTCTGCTCCCTTGGCTCCCTGCAAAAGACTCAGTGGATCTTCACTCTCAGGGCCCAGGTGTGCTCCCTACTTGGCTCCTGCCTTCCCTGTGGGCATTCAGTGAGCCATGTTTCTTTTGTCTCCCTCAAAACAGGACGAAGAAGAAGGTTATAGCTCCTACTAAGGTGAAAGTGAAGGTGAGTTCTGTGTTTTCTGGTTCTCTTGATTGGCATATGCCAAGAGTCAAGTGGCTGTCACCTTAAATCCTGTGCTTGAGCCTCGTGTCTGTACATCAGCTGCTGTGAAATGGCTCTGCTCAGTACAGGGGTTGAAAAAAACCACTGGAACAGAGCTGGAATGGGTGGCAGCAGCAGTTGGGAGGGAGTTGGGGACTGACAGGCATAGAACCAGTGTGTTCTGCCTTTTATCCCCAAATTGGGAGTCTTCCCTTCCCTTTATCCACAGTAAACTCTGTCTCTCTCCTGACCGTGCCTTCCCTTGTGATTTTGTTCCAGGAATCTTCCTGCAAGCCAGAAAAAAAGATGTCAGCGTCTGTTCCTTCCATGCACTCGAGCAGCACCTTAGCTCTGTCTTCAGAGCCCCAGGGAGGAGCTCTGGGCATCAGTGTCCAGCCCAGGGAACTCCTGGCCCTTGGGACAGCCCAGGCAGGCGGCAGCAGTGGCACTGCTGCTGCCTTCAGGGACGACTCCCTGGACGAGGACCTGATTCACAACCCCACGTCCTCCCTCGACGCAGTCTCCAAGGAACTGGCTGTGCTCAACAGCAGAGCAGGAGGGAGCCCTGACTTTACCCTTCCTGCAGCTCCCAAAGCTCCACCAGAGAAGATCCCAACTCTTGCATCCTCGGAGGAGAAGAGGACATTTCCCAAGTCCAGCCCTTCCCCTACGTCATCCTCCGGCTCCCTCCAGTCTCCTCTCAATTTCCTGGCCGAGCAGGCCCTGGCGTTGGGTCAGTCTGCTCAGGACAAGAAGACAGAGAACTCGAACTAC